CAGCGTTTGAGGCTATGATCATTGCTCCCTGTCAGAATATTAAGTAAATATGCAGGAAACCAAGAAAAGAAATACAATCAGCACCCAAACTCCAGAAAACAATAACTATTAATATGCTGCTGACTAAGAGCATTTCCATCCACATCTTTTTATGCGCATTTTCAATGTGCACACCAAACACCACAAATCTGACAAATGCTCAAAATTTTGCTGAAAAGTTTTTTCTCTGGAAAAGCTGAAGTATCAGTAAAAGTTAAATGAGACAAAATGCAATGGAAATGAACTCATGACACACACGAAGGGCTGTTGCCGTCGAACCGTACAGCATTATACAGAGTGGTATTTGTGTTGTTTAGCCTAGCCTTGCTGATATAAATGGGGTGGAAAAAATAATGGAAACACCTGTCAGCATAATGCAATAGCACCACAAACTGTAAAAACAGAACATCATCACATTCATGGAGGACGATTTATTGCAGGACTGTTGTGTGATTAAACTCCATTAGTTTTAGCTTGGTGTACCTAATAATCTGCCAACTGAGGGTATATGTCTGTATCACAAATCCATCATGGCACGGCACACACTGCTACTCAATATATCTTCTTAAATGGTTCCAGTGCGTACAGTATGTGTGTGCCGGAGGGTGAGGATAGATTTGTGAGTGTATGTATTATGCATATCTCTGTGTGTGTATGTGCATGTGTGTTAAGTAGGTGCCTAACCTTTTAGGCTTCAGAGAAGTTGCAAAGGTGTTGTGAGAGCAGCCAGTGAGCAAACTGTTCAGAGTCTCTGCAAACCTCAACTTTTGTTAAATTGTTTTGTCTTTACTTAAAAACACTCAGCACACTAAAACCAGGGTGCTTTTAATTCAGGTGTACTGTCAAATTCGGAACTGGACCATGTTTCAAAGAGATTGCTGCCCAGAAGCGAAGCTTTTTTCTAAAGCACAAACATAAAGATGAAGTAAAAATGTAAAAGCTTTAATGGACTGAAATGTTAATTGAGGCATTTATCATGATGTTGAATCAAAGCTTTTACTCGAACATGGAAGCAAGCTGCCTGGACCTGGCCAGCGCTGCCAAGAGTCCCGGGGGCATCATCAGTGCAGCTCATTTCGAGTATATGTTACAACATCCTGCCTGAGTGCTGTGGCCTTTAGGGGTTCTCGTCTCAACTGTCTGTAAATGAAAAATGAAAAACATCTTGACATAACTAATGAAAAGCAATGGGCTTTTTTTTCCTTGTTACTGTGACAGAGAAGAACAAAATGATGAATCTGACAGAGGGGTTTGGCCAACTGTGCCTAGCAGGTGGCTTGCATATAAATCACCTCCCAGTACACTGAGATGAACAAAGGCGGTTGCAGACGTGAAGACCACATGGAGGCGAATCTGGAGCAACAGCACATGAAATTATACTTTTATTGACTCCATTAACATTGATTGTTGAGTTTTATGTTAAAACTCACTGGTAATAATACCAACGCGGCGATTGTTTAACAATTTACTCACTTTCTACTGACATTTATGTGTAAATATCCCATTGGTAATTTAAAACGATATCTGTTGCCCTGTATTTCGAAAACAGATGTTTACATGCTGTTAAACGTTACTGTGGGCTTGTGACTTTGGTAGCAGCCATAAATAAATAACTTATCAGATTGTGTGTTGGAGTTACTTTTATTGGCTAATTAAAGAACCAGTGCCGCTTGTTATCCGCTCATAACCAGGTAGACAACAGGCTGATAATGAGGTGCTTTTATTGTTCTGTTTCTTTTCTTTGTATGTCACTGTGTGTAAGGAAATGTTAAATTAATCTAAGACAGAACTTTTTAATCACAGGAGCTGAAAATGTCACATAATTATGACTCAAGATCTGTGATAACAGACTTGCTGGAAAAGAGTACCTTTTATATTTTAGGATCATGATGAGTTGTGTGTTTTGCTTGCAGCTTCATCAGGCCTGATGATAATGACACACAGGTTTTGCCCATTAAAAACTAATGAAATGAAAAAGATTCTTCTGCACCATTTTGGTTTTCCCAGGTTCTTAAGCTATAAAGATGTTAGAATAATGAAACCCTCAGTGTTATTCTTCTTGACTGGCACACTCACTCACTTAAACCGATGTCACCTTCTGCCAGTACTACTCTTATGCAGTACTAATCAGAGTACAGCCAGTTTATTATTCAGACTGACATCACATTTGTGTTTCAGTTGACATATGAGCAGCAACAGAAATCACTAGGATTAGGTTTACATTGATTGAAAGAATATAACAAATTAAAAGTCTTCTTTATATTTATGATTTCATCTTGTTGCCATTTTGGTGGCAGACAGACAGACTTGCTTGTTTTTCCAGTCCGGAAAACAGTGAGCACAGCAGCGGAGCTATTTGAATCTCTGTAATATTGGATATGGTGGTTGTAATCAGGCCTGTACCTCCATTATGTAATTGTATTTTTATTTGTTGCTAATTTGTGGGTTTTAGTAACATGGGGGAGTTTACATTCTAACATATGATGGTTATTTTATTAACCAATTACTGTACATTCACAGTTTTTAAAGACATCTGGTTGTTTAAATTTAATCTCTGTTAGACCAACCAGTACAATAAATGTTTATGCATTTAGGCCTTTTATTATTTTATGTTTGAGTAACAGTAACAGTGTTGTCATTACAATTATCATTTTAAAAATGTTGTCAAGTGGAAAAAAAAAAAAAAGCTTGGTTAATTTCATTAAACATTTTTTCTTCTTTATTATTATTCTAACTTATGTTTTTTATTCTTGTCATCTGGAATTATATATTAAAAATATGTATAAATTAATGCTAAAATATATACAATATATTATATACAGACTGACAACATATTTGTCCAAACTAGATTCTGATGACTGTGAATCAAAATAAATAGCTGTTGAAAATGACAGAATACCAAGTGCATTATAGTTTTCTGTTTCAAGGTACACATTCCCATTTACAAACTACTGAATTTTTAAAACAGTTGAATGACAAGTGCTTTTTATTCCTCATTACATCATTCATTGTCTTGAAACACGCTTCAGGTCAGGCTCGCTTCACTTCAGTATTAGTCATCAGCCACAGTCAGAAACTGAGTCTCTCTCTTTCTCTCTCTCTCTCTCTCTGAGTGAACTTAAATTGTAATCTGCATTCTAGTGCTCCTTTGCTTGGACGTCCAGCTGTTCACACTGTTTTCCCCACTGACAGAGAAGGAGTCAGACAATGTTTTCCTACTGAACAGCAGATAGAGAGGCTCTGCATCCCACTTACAGATGTTTGTGATCACTGCTCCACTGAGATTAAAATGGAAGTGAAATGGTGGCCAGACATTCACCTAACCGAGCAGCGGCCTGGTCCTCAGGCGCCCTGTTGTATTGGTTTTGGAAAGTGAGCAGGGAGATTTGCTGGAGAGAAGCTCCCTGATCTGGCTCCACAGCCAGATTTCATGCATCAAGGAGTTTTGGGGTATATATATATATTAAAGACAAATGAAGGATGGATGATTAAGCAACTGGTTCATAGAAAAGTTCACAGACTGAACAACTGAGAGTAATAATACCGTATGAGTTATTGTGTTATGGTCAATTGGGGCATCTCCAAAATGTCAGACTTAAGGCGTTTGAATCTGCCTTTGTCAGTGATGCTATTTCCTGGAGGGAAGACAGCCATCTGGACTTTAAGATGTCAGCATCATGGCTGTATTTATGAAGTGCGTGCATATGCATGCGTGCGTCGGTGTCTGTACATTTTGTGTGCCAAGATAACAGTTGACGTTCGGGCTTACATTTATCTGCCAGGTGACTGTTTTATTATTAAGGCCTCTGCATGGATCTACCTCAGTATACTGTTGTTTATTTCAAATTAATTTTGAAACAAGTCAATGGGTGCAGAAGAATTCCTCAGGGGTTATGTTGATCAGTTGCACATGTGTTGTTTGCTCTGTATTTATTATTTGTCTCAGGCGGATCATTGTGTTGCACAGTGTTTAAGAAGATGAAGTCCAAAAGCTGGAGAGAACTGAGTTTTGTTCTACTTACAGGACAAAACTCAAACTATATTGATGTCTCTGTGTGTATATGACACTGGGAATGTAGTCTTACTGCCACATAGTTGTGCCAAAACCACACATTTTTCCACAGACATTGAAGGATAAGGTTTGCAATACTCTATTTTTCATACTGTCGACAAAGCCCATTAAAAGCAACCAAACCAACAATGAACTCATCTAATAACACGGATTGTGTGTATGGTCCAAGCATGATACATTTTATTCCTCTGTGCCATAAAAACCTGTTAAATACACGTCAACAAGCCACACAGCTGCCCTGAATGACATGTTCCTACAATACCATGAGTCAGTCCAACATACACCACCCTGTTCCTGTAAACATTCACTAGAGGGCTGAATGTGTTCATCCACCGCTGAAAATAGTACTATTTACGTCTGTTCAAGTAATGTTTGCTACAGTACGCAGCTGGTATAGGAAATTAATTACCTGCTTCAGAACTATGTTTGGTTAAAGCCAGTAGTGGAACATAATTAAGTACATTTACTCAAGTACTGAACTTAAATTCAGTGATGAGGTATCTGAGCTTTGAGTATTTTCATCTTGTGCTACTTCAAACTTCGACTTCACTACATTTTAAAAGCAAATATTATACTTTTTAGCCACTACATTTATTTTATAACTGTAGTTACTTTTGAGAATCAGATTAATAAAACAAAACACAGTATAATCACAAGACTTTGACCTCTGGTGAACAATTCACAAGCAACCCAGCAGTAATTTAAATTATGAACATATAAGTTAGTTAAATTAGCTCTCCCTTTACTAGCTGCAACATAAAATGTGAAGTAAACAATAATGCATCAATAATTATAAACCAATAATATGATATATATCAGTGTTAATTGTGCCATTCTGCATAATGAGTACTTTTAGTACTTTAAGTATGTTTTGATGCTAATAGTTTTGTACTTTTACTTAAGTAGCATTTTGAATGCAGGACTTTCACTTGTAACAAAGTATTTTTTCACTGTGGTTTTGCTACTTATACCTAAGTAGGGGATCTGAGTTTTTCTTCCACCACTGGTTAAAGCTTGTATTTGTTCCACTAAGAACGAATGAGCTTGGGGTAATTAGAAAGTACTGAGAGACATGCTAACATGTCTCTGCATGGACTCTGTCGACAATTGGAACAATAAAGTGAATGTAGTACAGATGCTGTAAATGCTTTAGTGCTAAGGTGCCTAACTGCTGCTGTAGTTAGAGCAGCTGTTGTAGTAAAAATAGCTATATTCAGGCAATAATCTGCTGTACTACTATTCCAATAGGTCATCTGTCATTCAGTACCACAGCAGCCTGTTTGCCACAATGTTTTGCTGAATTCACCCAAATGTAATGAATTTCACATTACTTGTAGAACTATCTGCTCTGTTTGCTCATTCTAGTTAAATACAACACTATGCATAATTTATCATTTGCCAGCAGCAGCATTTACATCAAGATTATAGAATGGCTTCTGTATTACAAACACACAAACAAGGAGAGTGACCATCCTTCACAGATATAGTTTGTTAGTAATGGAAATGGAATTCTGTTAGGAATTTTAATGATGTATTCTGAAATTTAATTTAGCATTCTAAATGGGAGTGCACATTAGTGATCGTCTCTTGAATCCTGCCCTGCATGTATTAAACATTAGGATTCTGTGTTTTGAATTTAAATTTTGCACTTTGTCTATGAAGCTAGAGCAAATATTCAGAAATCTCTGAAAGCTGAATGAAGAGCACTACACTGGTTGATAGAGCATTATTATTAGAATTAGTAAGTGTCCTATAAACTCATCATGTGGCTCACCAGGCTCACTGACTTTTAAGTAACATACAGCAGTTGATGCTTTAAGCAGCACCCAGTACCATGACTACATGCAACGGTGCTGACTGAACTACACATGGCCACCGGTATTAGCAAATTAGGAGTCTTTTTATTTGAAATCGTTCACCTTTTACACACTGACAGTGAATATACACAAGCCTTCGTGGTCCCTCTGACTCGACACATGGTCAGTGACAATGTGTGCTGGATATTGTCTGGGATGGCTTATGGTGGATGTAAAGCTCCCACGCACACACACACACACACACACACACACACACACACACACACACACACACTCATACGCACACATGCAGAAGTACACACTCGCATATCTACAAGATAATGCAAGGACGAATTCAAAAACACTTTACGACACATACTCTAACCATCTATCACAGTCTAGCCATCTAATGTAGACATCAACAGAGGAGGGGCTTAAAGTGCATACAGGGAGAGAGGAGGTCTTTGCTCGCTATGATCAGCCATTTAAATTATTAGCAACAGTAACCCTCCACCAAAGCAATGTTCTTAGGGCCACGCTGTCTCTTTACAAAAAGCATATCCCCACCGTATTTTAGCTCAAACCAGGCCTTGCATCATGAAGTAATGACACTGCATAGTTCACAAGGTTAGTCTTATACATTATTGCGATACGATGTGGGTCCAAGTCTGGGGTGGGGGTATGAGCCATGGGCTGCAGGATGGCACAGAAAGTATGTGTAGTCTTCACTGGGGTTGAATTTTTAAAAAATCCATCATGAGAAAGCGCCAAATGCTTCAATTCTGTTAAGTTTAGCTTTGCAGAATAATCCATATGAGAGGTTTGATCACGATGTAAAGATGTTCACTATACCAGATGCATAGAAGGAGTACAGTTGCTGACATGACCCCTTGGTTTGGTCTGGATGAAACACATGATTTAGTCCTTGAGGGGGGCAGAGCAGCGCTGTTTGGGTCCAACAGGTCAGTAAGGGGCAAACAGGACTGGTGGGTGGGAGGTCCTGACAGGCCCAGGGCCCGGGCGGAGCAGTGCAGCAGGGAGGGTTTGTGTCTGGAACAGGGCAGGGGCTGGGCTGGGGTTAGTCGCATGGTTTGTGCGATGTGTGAAAGAGTTGTGTGCGGCCGCCTGCTGCCGCTGCCACTGCTGCCAGGTGAGCAGGTATGATCTGTGCAGTCAGAGGCTGACACTGGTGCTCCTTACCCAAGGTCAACTTTATCTGGCAGAAAGAGACAAAACACATGTAATACAGTTCTCAGACGCCGATTTTTTATTAGGGCTGGGTGTCATTAGAATTTTTTACACTTGTGCCAATACTTGAAATCTTTTTTCACTTCTCTAATGTGAGACAGAGAAACATAGCCCTTTGTCATTTCACTAAGAAAACCAAAGGTCAAAGATTTTATTAAATGTGGTCCAAACACAAGCAGTTGTGTGAGAACTATACGGTATCAAAATATAACAGTTTATAGTAAATAAAATGGAAAAATATACTTTAATAAAACAAAATTTTGATTTAAATCAGAAACTACTGATTC